AACCAAATCGGTCCAAGTGTTTGACAGTTATCGTGTTCACGGGCAGACGAACAGACGGACACCATCGATTCCCCTATAAAGCTTGCATTGCTTTGCTCTACCGCTTAATAATGGAATTTATCTTGGTAAACAATATGACAAGCAAAAAAATAAGCAAATCTAAATTATTAAATAAACCGTCCATTATCCATTAATACGAATGAAGCTTTACGTGATTCAGTTTATTCACTTATAACCCAAATATAATGCATGAAATAATGATAAAAGTCTGTACATTGTTCTCGTCGTCTGTAGATATGCGTCTCGTTCGATGTATCGAAACTGCTCACCTCCTACCTCCTTCTCCTAGATGTCCATTATCAACTGGAAAGTTTTCGATTTATGGCGAAACTCAATTGTTAATTTTGGTGCAGTTATATCAGCAACCCGTGCAACTTAATCCCAATACGTACTGTGTTCAATTCCATTCTATTTATAGATATTTATAAAATACATCGCCTAACTTGTCTTCCTAGGCTGTTATCACTTTTAATTGTCATTTTATCGCTGAGTTAAAATAAAGTGTATGCACCACCATTACAAGAAAGCATACCTGAGATCCAGCAACGGATTACCGACCTCATCGAATCAATCAATCGAAACACTTGTTCGTTTCGCGACTCGACTTGAAATTTTTTGTATATACTCTTACCCTCTAGCCTTTCCTCTTGGTAATCAACGCCGAAGTTTTTCTTTTTCCGCTTACATATAAAACCACCCACTTTATTTGGTGCGAAGTCTAGCCAATAAAAATGTTTCCTTCCCTCAATTATACACATTGCCTAGGTATTGTATAGAATACCTGAATTATATAGACTGCCGGTAATATACGTACTTATATAATGTTATATAATGAGCTGATCTACGTTGCGCAATTTTTAAAAAAGAAATTTTGTTGCTCTTCTTTTTTTTGCGCATTTTCCAAAAAAATGAACGCTATTGTTCGCACGTTGTCCGTCTGTCTGTTCATCTACGAGTACTCCAGTTTAAGCTTTTTCTTTGTGGTTTTTTTCTTGTACGATATAGCACAGTCCCGAGACCAGAACGACAAAAGGTTTTTTTTGTATTAGTCACTTCCGTGAGAGTTATTACTGATTCTGTGCAGGGAAAATGCGCTGTCGTCGGTCGCGAATGACCACGTTTTTAACTTGTTTGGTCTTGCAAGTATTTAAACAATGGTCTTGCTTTACATACAGCATCGCTTATGAGAAACTTTTTTGACCATATATAGTGCCAAAAGTCAAAACTAGGTTCTTCCCTTTTTTAGTGAATTTATTCACCAATGATCGCACGTTGGATATAATTAACCAATCGTATATTGATACGACAAAAAATGAACAACACTTATTTTATTATTACGCACTAATTCAGTGTTTTGCTTCCACAAACAACATCTACTCATTTTTCAACCTTTCTTTTATATATTTTATAAAAGCTATTGTAATATAATGGTTGCCAGCGGCTTAAATTATTAATGAAAATATCCAGTCACTTTTCGAGCGAAACATCTAATGAATCTGTGAAAACTTTATAAATACCATTTTGCCTCGGAACGTCTAGAGAAAAAAATTAAATGACGTGTATGTATATATTTGGAAAGAAAATAATAGCTTCTTTTTTTCTCTCCATTTTAACGATTTTATCATCAACAAGTGTTATCTCTTAGTATTGGCATTTTCCATTAAAATCCTTTGGGCTATAAATTTTCCGTTAAAATTTGCGCCACGATATATCTGACAATACCAACAAGACAACTACTAGTACTAAATAGTATAGCGTTAACGATATAGTGCAAATTTATCGTTAATTGAAAAGTTGATATTTTCAGATCTTTCTAAATGAAACGAATGGAGTGTCGCAAAAAAAATCATTACGTGGTCGTCGTGCGGAAATATACAACCTTAAGTTCTGGTGTCATTTGTGTCACTGCTTTTAAATTAAACTGACAATTCTATAGAGTAGATATTGCGATAAATCAGCCCATCTTATAAATGTCGACGCTATTGTGCTCAATATGAATTATTCACACAAGAAATCGAGAACCATTGAAACAATATCTATACATGTCAAGTAGGAAATGTGTATTAAATATGTTTTGGTCACGTAACCGATATTGAAATTCTATTCTGCGAATGATATTTAAAATGTCTGCGATCGTCGCGAATTTAAAATGTTTAGGGAAAATGCATCGAATGGCAAATGTGGGGCTTAAACAAACGCTGCAAATCAGAAATGTCAGGCCAATTATTGGAAAATCGCCCATCGACACTGTTTTGCTGCGTTTTGTTGTCACAACACAAAAATATCATTCAAGATGTTTGTGTCATTCACTGAAAAAGACATGAAAGAATTCGAGACGAGTTTTTCTATTAGTACACGTAACTATCAATGTCATTTGTGATAAAAGGAGAGTATTGTATAAAGTGACTGGAACTTTTATACATTGCGCAGTGGGGAATGTTAGTTTCCGATAACGATTTCGTACTGAAAAGCTATATATTTATGGATAATGGTGAATACAAATAACTATGTATAAAATAAAATAAATAGCAGAAAATCGATTGTGAAGGTACATACAGGGTGTCCCTAAAAGGTCTGTACAACGCGCTACCAGGGGTTCTTGGTATCAAAATAGGACGATTTAACCCAACTTACCTCTATCCAAAAGTGCTTCGGTAAGGCGCTATCTACCGCCAAAGATTTAAAAAAAAAATCGTTATTTTTATTTTATCGGAAAATGGTTTTGCCGATTAAAATGAAATTCGGGATGTGAATGTCTAATGTAAAAAGGGTCTTTGTGATATCATCGTTTTGATTGTAGTTGCTATGTAGGTGGTAAAATACTGACCATCCACATCTGAAGAGGTCTAAAACTTTTTAACTACTATTTTGACGGTTCTGAATTTTTAGACACTGATAGACAGTTTACTTGCAAGCATTTTTTGTCTCTTGATGAATATCGCTATCTGTGATGGTTTACGTTTACGAAAAAAAAAAATTTAGGCATGATGAATGGCATGCACCATACATGCGATTGTTCCTCAGAAACCATAAGTGCAAGCAAGAAGTAGGCTATGACGATTTGGAAACCTGTGAGTATACTCCCTAACGCATTGGCGACCATTTCCACGACAGTATCCAAACACTAATAGCATATCAGTTAACTCTGCGTTACTGTATTGAAAGGCCATATTACAATTTTAACAATGAAATTTTAAATCTTCAAGCAAAACGTAAATTGTTCAAGTTTAAGAAACAACAAACAAACGTTACGCCACTCTAAGGTTTCACAGCCATCTTCTGATTTTTTGAGGAACAATCGCATGTATGGTGCATGCCATTCATCATGCCTACATTTTTTTTTTTTCGTAAACCATCACAGATAGCGATATTCATCAAGAGACAAAAAATGCTTGCAAGTAAACTGTCTATCAGTGTCTAAAAATTCAGAACCGTCAAAATAGTAGTTAAAAAGTTTTAGACCTCTTCAGATGTGGATGGTCAGTATTTTACCACCTACATAGCAACTACAATCAAAACGATGATATCACAAAGACCCTTTTTACATTAGACATTCACATCCCGAATTTCATTTTAATCGGCAAAACCATTTTCCGATAAAATAAAAATAACGATTTTTTTTTAAATCTTTGGCGGTAGATAGCGCCTTACCGAAGCACTTTTGGATAGAGGTAAGTTGGGTTAAATCGTCCTATTTTGATACCAAGAACCCCTGGTAGCGCGTTGTACAGACCTTTTAGGGACACCCTGTATAATAATAATTACCTACATTATTTTTTATTTGATGCTTTTGTCTTCTTTTTGGCATTTTTACTATTTTAGCATTGGAAATGATTATGCTAGTGTATGGGTATGAAGTTACCAGTTGTACTCAAGCAGAAAAAAACAGCGGTGTCGCATCAAGTTATGATTGTACAGTACTCGGCCGGAATCGGTAGGTTAAGGAGAAGTCGCGGATACTGTCGATGCGGTACTTACTTATTAGTGCGCAATTATAATGTTCTGTTGATTCTCATCTAAAATTCTCGCACATTTCCTCTAATACGATTACGAGTATGTTATGAGGTTTATAATTCAGAAACGTTACGTCTCGGGTGAATAAGGGTTATTTGTGTTTTACATATGGCGTTATACGGTTATCATTTCCAATGTCTTCGATGGTTGCAGGGATTGCGATATCTGTGAATGCTTTTAATGTAGTGTACAAAGACGGGAAAGTGGAAGTTTTTCGGGTGGAAGGAAGATATGGCCAGGCGAGGCGAAGGCGAACGGTAAAACTGCTTTTATTATGTTTCATATTCAATTAAAAAGAAGGCTTCCTTAAAATTTTATTTCAACCGCGCCATCTAGGTTATACTATGCGATCAAAAATGAGTCACCTTTGGAATTTTTTTTTACATAGGAAAACGCACTTAACTTGAACTTCCAAAGGCGACTCGACAGCAACTCATTTTTGATCGCCTGTTATAAGGCGTATTTATTTTCTCGCTTAGCCTGTAAAATGAAATTTTCTCGCTTTATCCCAGCAATTGTCTTCTTTCCCGTTTTCATACAGGCGACAAAATCATTTTCGTACATCGTAAGGCCAAAGATTACCCAACAGATGCAGTTCAGCTCCTCCCAAAATAATCCCGGCAAATTTATATGAACATTTTAATTGGCCGAATTTCTAAAGCCTGTAACACGCACAGCTATTTAGCTGCGAGTTTGACGACACGTAAGATCCTCATCTCAAACAACAGACTTTCCAGACATGTGTATATAAAAAAGGAGGAGCAAAATTATACACAATTGCAGTGTTTCTGAAATATTTCTGGTCACCGCAGTGGCACACTATATTTCACTGGCGTATCAAACACGTTTTCGTTATGGAAAACCCTTGAGAATTGGAAAGTACTATTTGTTCTCTTTGAAAAACGGTTATATTTGAGGAGAAATCGTTGAAGTTAAGGGTATAATATGTCACGTCATATGTACAAAGTAATCATAAATTTACAAAAAGCGCAGAAAAGGTATATGGGGTACTGTGACTTCACCAAGCGGTATGTACTTCTAACGTGCTCTTAGTTTACCCTTGAATTTACCTTACTTTAATTTATTTTTTTTAGGCGGGGAAATTTCACTATTGTTGCAAACATATTGCTATGTGCAATAGTCAACGGTCACTAAAACCACCCACAATTAAACACCGATACATAACCAAATCTGTAATACGAAATGACTATAATGGCATTTTAGTGATAGGTCTTACCGTTTTCGAGTAAATGATATTTCTATATGCAGCTCGTGCGCGTCCGCGGGCCGCCTAGCAGCGCACTTGCTTGGCTGCTATCGGCGCCGGCCGGACAGCCGACTTGTCACATGTAGTGGAGCGAAATCATTCCAAAAACTAAAATGCGCAGCTGATCTGCATATTACATTGAAAACATAATGTAACTACATTAGCATAAAAAATATGAGAGTCGATAAATCCATTATTGTGCAACATAAACTTCACTCTGCGGGAAATTTTTTTGAATTATTGTTAGCAGTACTTCTAGTGTTACAGTTTTTGTGACCACAGTAAGATGGCCAGGTATCCAAATATTACTTTGCATGGACCATTCATCTCCGCTGTTGTCGAGTGTTGGTTTGTTTGTTTCCTGCGGTACCACTCGTTTAATTGGTAAAAGTATGTGTTACGGTCAAAGTAATTAATGCCATTGTGATAAATTTTGGTGCATTTCCTTTTTAAACTTTAGGGGAAGGGAAACTACTGCCATTTAGGAAATTAAGAAGATATAGAATTTTTAAAAATCATTCTGAAGGCATTATGCCATTATAAGTTTCAATTTTGATTTGTTTTGATCTAGTTGGACAGGTGCTTGGTGGGCGGTGTAGTGACCGCATACCATTGCAATATGGATTAACATTTGATAAGGACTGAGACATTCTCACGTGGGCTGGAAGCCGGTCTACTTTGGCATGTATCCGTGTACAGAACAGTTCTCAACAGTTCCCTTTTTGTAATTGCTGAACATACTTATCTTCATCCTTTATTGTGGGGAATATACCGCGTTGACCTCTTACACAGGACCAGCACCTGCATATTATTTAACAGCCGCATCTTGAGAAACGTTTTTCCTTCCTTTTTGGCGACCGCCAAGAGCCACGTCAAGGTGCTAGTCCTTGGTGAATGGCCACGGTTATGGTACGTGTCGATTAAACGACGCAATACCCATTACTTACTCGATCCCTAACATCCAAGGATGATCTCATCAGAACCACCTAACGGGATGTGCAGCGGTCCGCACCCTTACTTTGTACAGCGGATTTGGGTGTCATTGCTCGGCATTTCCGAGGAAGATCTTTGCCAGACGTGGCCCCGGTCCATCGTTTTTTCCCTTGTCGAGAGTACCATGGTGTCCGTGCTTCTTTGTTAGCAAACATGCCCGTTATCCCGATTCCCCCCAGTTCATACCAGTTCGAATAGCCGATATTATTGTCCTAGGTTTGTGTGTCATTCGAGAAGTCTTTCGTATTGTTTTGTTATTTGATATTTTAGTTTATTCTTATTTACTCAAGTATACGCCTTCGCCGTAATAAATAAGTAATTTATGTTTTAGTTATTAACAATATTAATTTAAATTTGTTATCCGTTATTTCGCATATACATATTTTAAGTTTATAACAGTTTCAATTTTAGTTCAGTTGTTAACCTACTACGGTAATACCTGGCATGATCCGAATCTTTCCATCTTGGATTTTAAAGCCTTGTTTATGGGGATAAACTGAAATATTACGGGTATTCACTCTACTACCCGCACTTCCTGAATCTTTGCTAAGCGACCTATCCCGAAATGGAAGGGGTGGTGGCGAGCTAAATCTTTCCTTCCTTCTAACCTTTTACGTTTCCAATGCTTCGTTTTTTCCCGTGCACTCCGCCCAATCCATCTTTAAGCTTCTACTCCGAGTAACAAAATGTGATAACAGTATCATCCTCACCTTCCGGCGCGCGACGTTGCGATAAACGATTGGCAGCTGTACGAAAACTAATCGACATAAAATTCTTTTTTATCCAAGACCAATAAAACTTGAACTGTGTTATCCACTTTTTGCACGGCTGTATGAGTATGTTGATGAGAACTTTATGATCAAATTTGTACTAAAAACCGCGAACTCAATATCGTCTGAAAACTTTACAACGTTAACCACGATTGATCACAGTTACGGGTTGAACTAAATATAATCCATTTCGATATAAACACAAAACGAAGACACAATACAGAAGAAGCACTTGTTATGCAAATGACGTTATACTTCGAGTGAAAAGTTGGACGTGTTATTGCAACACGATCTCAGATCTAAAAGCGGTACGTCGTGCTAACCCTGTACTGGTGGCGTATTTTCAAATGCTTCTCGCAGTACGAATCGAAAAGTGAGTAGCTATTTTTATTCGATTTCCTTTTGAGCTGCGCCACTTCAATTTGTGAATTTAGCATCGTTTATAAATGGTAGCGTTTATTGAAAGTATAACTTTAAACTGTCACGTTTTGGGAATACGCAGACTGATCGAAATGCACTTTCGGGATGGGAGGAAATCCGGTTGCAGGATGCTTCGAGCGCATGTGGGTCAGCAGCTTTTAGTACAACTAATCGACTAAAGATTGATCACGCAATTTCCAAATATTTATGAGAATTTTATTACCTACGTATGTAGACTGTAGTTACGTTTAAATTATGGTAGCAAATCATCTGTTAACATACTAAGTATCCAGATAGATAGATCGATAGAACAATAATTTAATAATTCATTCCCAAAAGCTAGTCAGCTACAAATATTCATGTTTACACAGTGCATTGTCTTGAAGCATTAAACTGGATTATACAATTAACAAACAAAAATTTTCTTACTTTACAGTAGACCCTTGAAACTTTTTCATCAATATGGTTAGCGTTGTAATGGGAAATCCTATTCTTGTTTGGTTATAATTACAGTAGCATATGTTTTTTGGAATTATGAACCTGATATGATGCCCCACTAAAGTGGATTAAAAAAAAAAGTTGAACGACTCATTCAACACTACCTATACCTAATTTACGAGGGTTTCTCAAATACCACCTCTGTATTAATGTATTTATTTATATCAAAAAAAGATCATATTTCACGTTCTGTGGCCCTGCTGAACGCACCCAATGAGAACGCTTGCTTTGCGTGAATAATGTAACATTATACACGTTAAAAGTGTTTATAATAAAAATGTGTTGACAAATGTGCCCTATTACAAAAGTCGAGACAAAAGTCATTCAAATTGAATACTCTGTATATTAAAGGGTAGTCGCGAACAAAATACTTCATAAAATTTTGGAAAATATTCACATTGCAGTTTTATTTAAGTCTCTTTGATCGCAAATTAGAGTTTAACACTAAAATATTGCCTACTTTTCTAGAATATATATGCATTACTTAATTGCAGAGGGTATATTGATTTATTAGATTTCATTTTTAATAAAGTTGTGGATTAATCTTTTAACATAGATATAGCTGAAGTGCCTATTAATTAAAACACAAATTTTCATCGTTATGCATGTAATTATTATGATATACCTAACAGAAAGATCAAAAGCTTCCTTGCGACTGGCTCATATTTAACGTACATTTTTTTTATTAAGAAGTTAAGAGGTGTCTTGTTTATAAGATTTTTAATAGTACTCGCAAATCGCATTACGGCACTCTATAAAAGGCTTCACGGTTCTTTTGCCTCATAAAGGTGTATATGTTGCAGTTGAGTGTGCAAATTTGTTCATTCATATTTGTTTTTTTCAGTTACGATATATCAAACCAATTTTACACGTTATGTATCTACAGTACTATTCATTTAGAAGTAGACATAGGGATTTCCTATGTTTAGGTTTAAATGACAAAAATCCTTCTGAAAGACGCCTAATTTTATGCAACCGAAATAACATGCGCACGCATTTTGTCATTCTATACTTTAATAAAAACGACAGTAAATAGTATGCGTTTAGATTATGATGAAGAGATATTAAATTCGGTTGCTATTTCCTTCAAGTATTTTATGGGATTCTTTTCCACAAAAATTAAAACATTCGGTTTCCTCCGTTAAACTTGAGGGTTGTTTACGGTGTCTTACGTCTTACGCGGATCGCATTTCAATAACCACTAATTTTAAAGTTATCAACACAGAAAATAAATCTCTTACGCTCCTTAAATTATTACCGGCACTATACCAAATGACAATATCAAGTTTTTCTTCAGTTGAATACATCGCACACGAACGGAAATAAAAATATGGAAGCCAAAGCAATAATATCACAAATCTTCGTTTTAAGAAGTTATTTTAGTTGCATAAAATTAGGCGTTCTTCAGCAGACCGTTTCGCATTTAAAACTAGACATAGGAAATCCCTATGCATACATCTAATAATCAGATAATAGCTATCAGAAATATTTTCCATTTTCCAGGAAATTTACGATAGGCTACAGCTAGGTGAAGATTACTGGAAGGTTTATCCTGGTTTTAGTATGTCCTCCGCGCCTTCAGGTACATTACTCAAAATCATAATATTCATCCCCATAGATAGAGAGTGAACATCATTTGAATGATCATAAAATTCTCTGTGCCAAAATAAATAAATAAATAAATCACTATAATCGGCGGTTTATTGAAAATGAAAACTGTATTTGCCCCAACTGATCAAAATAGTTGCTAGATGACTTTGAACCAACTATTGAGGAATATTTTACTAACTTTTTTTGTGAAAAGGACCTTTCTGTAGGTATATCCTTGATTACTTGTCCTTAACATAGGATATTAACACTCAGTTTGTCTCTGCTAATCGACACATTTTAATAATACCTAATTGGTATATCTGGTGATCAAAATTCAAATGTCGTAATGTAAAATCACTATCATTTTAGTGCTTTTTCGTACAAATCTGTACATAAGCATCCCTCTGCATCAGTATATGGTGTTTGGGTGTTTTCCTTAACGAAATATGCAACGCTATATATCAAAGTGATTTATATACTTACAGCTGAATTTTCTTAGCAAAAATTACCCTTTCTGATATTGAAGTAAGTTTATGTATGTTTGTTCAGAAAAACTAGGTAAGGATGATCTAAATCTAATGCAACAAACGCGAGTTTTCTACGATGTTTGGTTGGTGAGTTTTTAAAAACTACCACAACAGTGATTTGTAGCTGCATATGTTACGAAAAATGCGCTAAAAATTTCATTAAATTGAAAGTAAGCATTTACGTGAACAAACTATTTTGTATAGAGGGAAGTTTGAAGCTACGCTGAACGAATAACGCAGAAGTGTTGA